ACCCTCGACACCTGCACTATCCCCTGCCCCGCTGAGTACAGTAATAACCATACACGACCCTCGACCCCTGCACTATCCCCTGCCCCGCTGAGTACAGTAATAACCACACACGACCCTCGACCCCTGCACTATCCCCTGCCCTGCTGAGTACAGTAATAACCACACACGACCCTCGACCCCTGCACTATCCCCTGCCCCGCTGAGTACAGTAATAACCACACACGACCCTCGACCCCTGCACTATCCCCTGCCCTGGTGAGTACAGTAATAACCACACACGACCCTCGACCCCTGCACTATCCCCTGCCCCGCTGAGTACAGTAATAACCACACACGACTCTCGACCCCTGCACTATCCCCTGCCCTGCTGAGTACAGTAATAACCACACACGACCCTCGACTCCCTGCACTATCCCCTGCCCTGCTGAGTACAGTAATAACCACACACGACCCTCGACCCCTGCACTATCCCTGCCCCGCTGAGTACAGTAATAACCACACACGACCCTCGACCCCTGCACTATCCCATGCCCTGCTGAGTACAGTAATAACCACACACGACCCTCGACCCCTGCACTATCCCCTGCCCCACTGAGTACAGTAATAACCACACACGACCCTCGACCCTGCACTATCCCCTGCCCGCTGAGTACAGTAATAACCACACACGACCCTCGACCCTGCACTATCCCCCGCCCTGCTGAGTACAGTAATAACCACACACGACCCTCGACCCCTGCACTATCCCCTGCCCCGCTGAGTACAGTAATAACCACACACGACCCTCGACCCCTGCACTGCTGAGTACAGTAATAACCACACACGACCCTCGACCCCTGCACTATCCCCTGCCCCGCTGAGTACAGTAATAACCACACACGACTCTCGACCCCTGCCCTGCTGAGTACAGTAATAACCACACACGACCCTCGACCCCCTGCACTATCCCCTGCCCTGCTGAGTACAGTAATAACCACACACGACCCTCGACCCCTGCACTATCCCCTGCCCCGCTGAGTACAGTAATCACACACGACCCTCGACCCCTGCACTATCCCCTGCCCCGCTGAGTACAGTAATAACCACACACGACCCTCGACCCCTGCATTATCCCCTGTCCCGCTGCGCTGTATGGCCCTAGTAGGTTTAGCGCTTCTTCTTGTATTACAATAATAATAACTATACAAGGATAACAGGAGATGCATAAAAACAATTCTAAAACAAAACGGCAACAAAGATTAAAACTTAAAACAGATCCTAAGCTGTTGTATAGTTTTACAAGACAGAAAACGGTAGTAAGGAAGTAGATAATAAGATTAAAGGAGGGGAAATGAGCTAATAAATGACAGGGAAGTTCAGAGGTCAATATGGAAGAATTTGGTGAGATACCAGGAAGGGAAGAAAGGCATGAGCAGCAAAGATTAGTAAGTATATTTAGGTACAGATACACCCAAGTACAATTATCATACGTAGTTTAACACGTGTAAATTACCCAGAATAACCCCAAAATTCAAAGTAACTTATTTCCACTGGAGTCACTGAAGAAATTCAAATGTCGAAAAAAATTATATTACGAGAAATGGAATGTGAGGAGAGAAGGACAGTACCAATCAAGAAGTTATTTTAATTAGTACACAACAGTGAACAGAACCAAGGCAGGTTTAGCTTAGCCACACTACTAAAATATATATTACAGGGACAGCTGCTTACCTGGAACCACATAACATCCTGGAATAGACCAGTGTACCTGCTGCATACCTCCTACACTACCGGAGGTGGGAATCGAACCTGGATCCTTCTGATTGTGACCCAAACCTAACAGCTATCACGGTGGAAGTCTGTTGACTAATTGCTGTGTTTTTACCGGGGCTTAGATCTCTATAAAAGGTTGTCTTGCACACTACACTAGTGACAACTGCCATGTCTCGTTGACAACAACTAACGATCAAGGTGTGTCCGAGAGCGCCTCGTTAACACCGGCTAGTGTGTTAAGGTATCAAAGCAAGTTATCAATGTGAATAAACCGAGAAATATACACTTGTCGGCTTATATACTCAGAGATGTATACTTACTGGTGTATATACACTGTGATATACACTTAACGATGTGTATAGCATTGACCTCGTGATGAACAGTTCTCACCTGCCTTTATATACAAGTCTGCGCCAACTCTAACAACCAGTAACCTCAACATAATCGCAGTGGCTTCCGCACAGCCTTTTAAAAGAGCCTTTACGGCAGCGACACACCAATTATCAAGGTCTAGGTGAGCATTTGTGTAGCACCAACTGAGCCTTACTCAACACACTCGTATTTCTACTTAATATGGTGAGCAAACTTGGATTAAATACAAACTCAAGAGCTGCAGGCAGCAGCTTCCCTGAACAAATATATATATATATATATATATATATATATATATATATATATATATATATATATATATATATATATATATATATGTCGTGCTGAATAGGTAAAACTGGTCAATTAGCAAGAACTCATATAAAATTAAGTCCTTTCTAGAATTTTCTCTTATACGTTTAATAATATTTTTTTCATTTATGTTGATGTAAAAATTAATATATAACAAGCGCAATTTAATTTAGCCTAATCCAACTAAATATATTTTAGATAAGTATACAATAATTTAATAATAAATAAATTTAAATCCATTACTGCGGGTTCTCTCTTGGAGAGATATCCTCAAGACCTTGTTAATATCCCCTTTATTAATACCTATCTTCCACTTATACACTTCGATCAGGTCTCCCCTCGTTCTTCGTCTAACAAGTGAATGTAACTTAAGAGTCTTCAATCTTTCTTCATAAGGAAGATTTCTAATGCTTTGTATTAATTTAGTCATCCTACGCTGAATGTTTTCTAACGAATTTATGTCCATTCTGTAATATGGAGACCAGAACTGAGCTGCATAATCTAGGTGAGGCCTTACTAATGATGTATAAAGCTGCAGTATGACCTCTGGACTTCTGTTGCTTACACTTCTTGATATAAATCCCAGTAATCTATTTGCCTTATTACGTACGCTTAGGCATTGCTGTCTTGGTTTAAGGTTGCTGCTCACCATAACCCCCAAGTCCTTTTCGCAATCTGTATGGCTAAGTTCTACATAAATAACACAAAAAGGCACAATACCGTGACTGGAACGATACACAAATAACCCGCACATAAAAGAGAGAAGCTTACGACGACGTTTCGGTCCGACTTGGACCATTTACAAAGTCACTTTGTAAATGGTCCAAGTCGGACCGAAACGTCGTCGTAAGCTTCTCTCTTTTATGTGCGGGTTATTTGTGTAAGTTCTACATTATTTAACTTGCAAGTACTAGGGTTATGGATACTCCCGAGCTTCAGAACCTTGCATTTATCTACATTGAACTGCATCTGCCACTTTTCTGACCAAGAATAGAGATTGTCTAAATCCTCCTGAAGTTCCCTAACATCTACGTTTGAATCAATTACCCTACCTATCTTTGTGTCATCGGCGAATTTACTCATATCACTAGTAATACCCTCATCAAGGTCATTGATATATATTGTAAACAACAACGGGCCCAAGACTGATCCCTGTGGAACCCCACTTGTTATTGATCCCCACTCGGATTTAACCCCCATTTATGGACACACTCTGCTTCCTGTCTGTGAGCCATGACTCGATCCACGAGAGCACTTTTCCCCCAATGCCATGAGCTGCCACTTTCTTTAACAGTCTATGGTGCGGAACTATCAAATGCCTTACTAAAATCTAAGTAAACAATATAAAATTCTTTATCGTGGTCAACAGCCTCAAAAGCTTTACTGAAGAAAGTTAATAAATTAGTTAGACAAGACCGGCCTCTTGTGAATCCATGCTGAGTATCATTAATCAAGCTATGCTTATCGAGATGGCTTCTTATAATCTCAGCTATAAATGACTAGTAATTTGCCTACAATTTATGTTGTTTTAATCTAAGTTCGAGATTTTTACCAGTTTGACCGTAATAAACTTTATCGCAAATTTTACAAGGAATCTTATAGACACATCCGTCAGCATTTTCATAGTTCCTTGAGAATGTGAGTAGTCACGAAAGCGCTTGGAATTTCACTACTCTTTCACAGTGGTTGTTTTGCATATATATGTCGTGCCGAATATGTAAAACTGCTCAATTAGCAAGAACTCATTTAAAATTCAGTTCTTTCTGAAATTTTCTCTTATACGTTTAAAGATATATTTTTTTCATTAATATTAATGTAAAAAATTTTCATTTTGCACCAAAAGAATCTTAGAAAACTTACCTAACCTTATTATAACAAGAACAATTTATTTTAGCCTAACCCAACTAAATATATTTTAGATTTGTTTACAATAATTTAATGCTAACCAAACACAGTGAAATATATTTTTTTTTTCGTTAGGTTCAGAATGATTTTGGCGAAATTATTGCATACACAAATTTTCGCTTGTCTTATATGGCAAGATGAGCGTTGCTATTTAAGCCAAGATCGCAAGTTCTGCCTATTCGGCACGACATATATATAATATATATATATATATATATATATATATATATATATATATATATATATATATATATATATATATATATATATAGAGAGAGAGAGAGAGAGAGAGAGAGAGAGAGAGAGAGAGTATAAATTAAAAGACTAGACATGTCTGGATCCTTATGACTGTTCTGTTAATATCTTTCATTAATATGGTTGAGACGTAGCTCTGTGTTATACAGTCTGCCTAACAGTCGACATTTATGAAAGAATAAGTCACAATATTGTGAAACATTCACAACTAAATCGCAAATTAGAGAAGAACTTTATGAGACATTTGGGTCAGTCCTGAGCCATTATTAACAAGACTTAACGATCCAGGAATGGTTGACACATTGTTCAGTTTTATCTTCAACGTGAAATACTGGGAGTATTTTGGTACATGTCATGATAGCCACACACGAGCAAGGTAGAGAGGGGGACCAGGAGCTACACACCTGCTTCAGACAATGGTTTGATTTTGCGGCACGTGATGCCATGACGCTGTTCCTTCTCCATGAAGCCAGCCAGAGCCAGACACCCGCCGAAGAACGTAATGTGCCAGGCGTACGTCACCAGCACTGCCGTACCTGAAATATAAAATTCATCACTTAACCAATTCATTTATTCTTTATTCATTAAAAAATATATTACATCTTATAGTTTACAATCAAAATTTACATCCATTGTATAAATTCTTTATGTTAAATACAGTTAGCTCAGTTATAATCTACGTATGTGTAATGCTTCCCAAAAATACTAATTAGTATATTATCTTCCGTGGAGATAAGTATATCGCCACTAAATTTACGTTGCCTCTGCTGTCTGCAATATTGTTTCACAACCTTGAATTAACATTCTGATATCTTGTTAGGTGTTGCGAGTCCTGAATGATAATGTTGCAAGGCCCACGATGTTACTGTTTCAGTGTGACATGTGTTTCTCTGAATATGTCCAACTCACTATAATGTGTTAATCTAACAGACGGCATGAGAGGTTATCAGTATATATATGGTAAGAGGTCTGGCAGGTTGCTTGACCGTGATGCCCTTGAGGGGTTAGCACCAGGCTGGCCAACTAGCTTGAAATATTTAAACTAGCGTTAGAAATGGCGATCAATGTTGCCTCAATGCAGAACTTTTTCTGCACATCAACCTCTGATTCTAACCTCAACTTATTTATAGTTCATCAGATAGACATACGAACTACAGTGAACCAACCTAAGTTGTTCATGTCTTCATACAGACGTATTTATGTTTCACATAAAACTGTAACAAATACAAAAAATATAAATTAAACAAATGTGCGATGTTTAGAAACTGTTTATGTGTTGCTCACCAGAAACTTTTTTAATTCAATGCAGAGTGAGGAAAACATGAGTAAATATAGCAGAAGATGGTTTATTCTAGGGAGTGTGGAGCGTGATGACTGATGATTCAAGGTAGCAACGTCTGTAGATTTTTCTCAAGATGAGTCTAGCCTCGCTACAGTTCATTCCATTACGATTATCTATACAACTGGCATATTTGTGTTCATTAATGGGTGTCTTGATCTCTTGCTGTCTCTCCCACAGACTTTGTTACAGTCTCCCCATGGTAGCATGTACTGTATATCACAGCTTTAATATCAACAAGGTTCAGTTTTTTTAATGGTGAGATACTTGACTGTAGCAGTAGACACTATTAACTGTGTTGTAAGATAGTGTTGTTAATTTTTTATGTTAGGTAGTATAAATCTCCGTCGTCTGTAGCCGTGGCTGAAGTAGGACGGGAACAACAAATTCTCAACATCCCCAAGACTGGTAAAACCTCAGTCTTATTTGTAGTCCTACCAAACAGAAAAGTAGCAATTAATATCTCCAACGTTGCAACCACTAGCACGAAAATTATGGCTTTCACCAAGACAAAAAATTTGGTTCAGTCCTGCAGAGGCTGCAGCAGAGTATATATGAGAGGAATCGTTAGAGGTCTTGACACGCACATTAATGACCACATAGATAACCTTAATAATGCATGTGTGATACATAGGAACAGCCACGGTCATATAATGGACTGTAATAAAGCTAGACTCGTCTACCAAGAAGAAAATCTACAATGACATCGTTGACTTTAATCAGGTGATACAGTTGCACACAAAACCTAGGCCACAAATAACCCGCACATACGAGAGGGAAGCTAACGACGACGTTTCGGTTCGACTTGGACCATTAACAGTCACACTGGTCCAAGTCGGACCGAAACATCGTCGTTTGCTCCCCTTCTCCTACATGCGGGTTATTTGTATTGTTTCAGTCACGGTATGGTGCCTTTTTGTTATTTAATCCTGTGCCGCCAGGACATGGCTGCCGGGTGAAATAACTGCACTATAAACACGTTAACTACAATTACACCAGCTCCTTCCTGCTAAATTTACTCATATTTTCCTCTTTATTGGGCAGCGCTGTATGGCCCTGGTGGGTTTAGCGCTTAATTTTGATAATAATATTACTAATACTCTTTACTGGATTGAAAAAATTCTTGGTGAGCAAAACATATCACCCCTCCCCCCAAAAAAAAAATCCCAAAAGTTGCACAGGCGTCTAATTTATACAGGTATATTATTGTGACCACGAACGAGTGGTATTGATCAATAACAACACTGCACTAGCCAAGGCCTCGAACCCATGCTGCTTTGGCCTGCCTCATGGTGGGCGAAAACACATCCAGTTCCGCTGGATACCCTACTCTTAAGCCATACCCCCGGCCGGGATTGAACCCGCGGTCATAGAGTCTCAAAACTCCAGCCCGTCGCGTTAGCCACTAGACCAGCTAGCCACAATAAGATTCATCCAACTAGGTATATTTCTACACCATAGGAAAGTTAGCACAGGCACCTCTGTGACCACAAATGCAAGTTTTTACACGGCCACGCTAGCTGGAGATTCGTCTGTAAAAACTTGCATTTGTGGTCACAGAGGTGCCTGTGCTAACTTTCCTATGGTGTAGAAATATACCTAGTTGGACGAATCTTATTGTGGCTAGCTGGTCTAGTGGCTAACGCGACGGGCTGGAGTTTTGAGACTCTATGACCGCGGGTTCAATCCCGGCCGGGGGTATGGTTTATTTGCAATCGTGTCATTACGATTTCTTAAGTCATGTTCCCTACTCTTAAGGATCGTATGGTCCAGTAGATAAGGGCTTCATGTGTTTTCGCCCACCTAGAGGCAGGCCAAAGCAGCATGGGTTCGAGTCCTCGGCTAGTGCAGTGTTGTTATTGATTATACAGGTATAATTACGTTCTCTGAGGCATTGTTCCAGATATGTGTGTGTGTTTCGTCACAGCAGCACATGGAATGATGTAGACCTCAGCTTTGATCCATCGACACCATGCCTAACCCTTCTAGGGTAGGGTAGGTGCCTGAGCCCGAGCCTTTAGCTCATAAGACTGTCATTCCCATTTGCCCCCTTGGGGCGGGGATGGCAGACCAGAGAGGCCTAGCTTGTGGCTAGGCCTGGGGACGGTTGGTCCCAAAGATGAGGAGGTACTTGTGCCTCCTCCCATGGGAGACTTAGGTCTCAGATACTCCCTAAAGAGGGAGCCAAGGCCGGGCCACCACTTGGAAAAGGCCCGGGCCGGGAGAATACCGGCTAATCTTTAACTAACCTCAGCGTTGGTGGCTTCCTTGTCAACCAGATGTTTGAGGGTGGTGGAAGCTGGTGGCCACAATCATCTAACCTAGCTAGCTAAGGCACTCGCTGTGTTACAGACTACGTCATCACATGGGAGGCCAATATACTTAGTAAGTCTATCTCAAGTTTCAGTACACAGTTAATTAATTTTGACGTGATGCCTTCATTATTTCCACTAAACTTGTGTGTAATATTCCAACGAAATTGGTCATTTTCGTGTATTAGTAACTCCAGCTCTGCTAAAAGCAAATCTGTAAATCTGACAGCTTCTAAAATCAATAGTACAATGGTCGACAATGTCCTAATTATCCTACTTAAGTCTCGCAGCTCAGGATGATTACCTTATTTGAAAACTCATCCTCACTGACGGAATATGAAAGAAAAGTCATCCTGACATGGACTATATCGTATTCTATACTGTGTGATGGAATATTACAGAACTTATCACGTGTGGTGGAAAGTGGCAGGAAAACCAGCGTGTGATAGATGTTTATGATGATGTTCGTTGTAACCTAGTAATATGTCCTAGTAACATGTCTTAGTAACATGTCTTAGTAACATGTCCTAGTATCATGTCCTAGTATTTCCTAGTATCATCTCCTAGTATCATGTCCTAGTATCATGTCCTAGTAACATGTCCTAGTAACATGTATTAGTATCATGTCCTAGTATCATGTCCTAGTATTTCCTAGTATGTCCTAGTATCATGTCCTAGTAACATGTCCTAGTATCATGTCCTAGTATCATGTCCTAGTATCATGTCCTAGTATCATGTCCTAGTAACATGTCCTAGTATCATGTCCTAGTATCATGTCCTAGTAACATGTCTTAGTAACATGTCTTAGTAACATGTCCTAGTATTTCCTAGTATCATGTCCTAGTAACATGTCCTAGTATCATGTCCTAGCAACATGTCCTAGTAACATGTCCTAGTAACATGTCCCAGTATCATGTCCTAGTATTTCCTAGTATCATGTCCTAGTATCATGTCCTAGTAACATGTCCTAGTATCATGTCCTAGTATCATGTCCAAGTATCATGTCCTAGTATCATGTCCTAGTATGTCCTAGCAACATGTCCTAGTATCATGTCCTAGTATCATGTCCTAGTATCATGTCCTAGTATCATGTCTTAGTATCATGTCCTAGTATCATGTCTTAGTATCATGTCCTAGTATCATGTCTTAGTATCATGTCCTAGTAACATGTCCTAGTATCATGTCCTAGTAACATGTCCTAGTATCATGTCCTAGTAACATGTCCTAGTAACATGTCCTAGTATCATGTCCTAGTAACATGTCCTAGTAACATGTCCTAGTATCATGTCCTAGTATCATGTCCTAGTAACATGTCCTAGTAACATGTCCTAGTATCATGTCCTAGTAACATGTCCTAGTATCATGTCCTAGTAACATGTCCTAGTAACATGTCTTAGTATCATGTCCTAGTATGTCCTAGTATGTCCTAGTATCATGTCCTAGTAACATGTCCTAGTAACATGTCCTAGTATCATGTCCTAGTAACATGTCCTAGTATCATGTCCTAGTAACATGTCCTAGTATGTCCTAGTATCATGTCCTAGTATCATGTCCTAGTAACATGTCCTAGTAACATGTCCTAGTATCATGTCCTAGTATCATGTCCTAGTAACATGTCTTAGTATCATGTCCTAGTATGTCCTAGTATGTCCTAGTATCATGTCCTAGTAACATGTCCTAGTAACATGTCCTAGTAACATGTTCTAGTATCATGTCCTAGTAACATGTCCTAGTATGTCCTAGTATCATGTCCTAGTAACATGTCCTAGTAACATGTCCTAGTAACATGTCTTAGTATCATGTCCTAGTATGTCCTAGTATCATGTCCTAGTAACATGTCCTAGTAACATGTCCTAGTATCATGTCCTAGTAACATGTCCTAGTA